ATCCAAATCATCATACAATTCCTTGATTGAAAATTCAACAAATACAAGTTTATGTCTAGGATCAAGTATTGTAGCAATATAAATCAACTTGTTTAATTTCTTAATATCCCTTCAACACTTCTCAAACTTTTTTTTTTTATTAGCTAATGAAAAATCATCAAAATCCAAACTTTGTTGCCATTTTCTCAAAACATGTTCAACTGAACAAATCACTTCAAAATAAGTATTAGATGTCACATACAAAGAATTTGAAATAAGAAAAACAAAGTTGTAAAAAAATTTCAACATGCTCACCATCTTCCAACAAGCCTCCCAATCATCAACATTAAGCGGTCCAACAACATTGTCATCATGATCTACATCAAATTCACTCCTATATAAAAGGATCAATTTGCTCATATCTCTTAAAGGCTCTCTCAAATTTTTTAGTTGTATTTAACATAAAATATGTTGAAATCCTCCTAGTTGCGATATCTAGATGTAATAAACTCTCAGAATCAATTTTTTCAAGTTTAATGCATTCTTTAAATCTTTTCAACCTAGCTGGAGATTGTCTTACATACCTAACGATCAGTCCAATATGAATGACTCGAAGGATTAAATGTTTCAACCCATTGATAATAACAAAATTCCAAATATGTGCCATGCACTTCATATGAAGAAATTCCTCATCTAAGATGCTAAGATCATAATTTTTAATAACATCTTTTAAATATCTAATTGCCACATTATTCGAATTTGCATTGTCAACCGTAAAGGTAAAAACCTTTTCAATTTCCCAATCAATCAAGCGACAAGCATTTCTCAATGGTAATGTCTAAATCTATTCCCTTATAACTATTAATTGAAATAAAAATTTAAGATCTTTTTATATAATTTTCAATCTTTATCAATGAAATGAGTCATTAAATGTATGTAATTGAGTTTTTGAGTAAATGCCTATGTGTCCATAGTAAGAAACTATTTCACAATTTTGTTTCAAGAATTGCTTAAACTTTGATTTCTCATCTAAATAAAGTTGGTAGCAATCTCTTGAAACCATAAATCGTAACGGTGTTTTAAATCTAGGTTGCATAATAGACATAAAATTTTTGCACCTCTTACCTTCAACGTACTTAAATGAAAGTTCATCTATAATGATCATATGAGTTAAAGCATTTCTACTAGCAATTTAATCAAACTTCTATATGCTAAAAGTGTTTTCTCCTCCTATATTTGGATGAAGGTTTAATTGAGTTTGTGTAATGTCAATAAAATGGTGGTTTTAGATATAGTCATATGTGCTAAAAGTGTTTTCTCCTCCTATATTTGGATGAAGGTTTAATTGAGTTCGTATAATGTCAATAAAATGGTGGTTTTAGGATATACTCATATGGGACTTAAGTGCAACAATGTCATTTTTTGTAAGATGATAAACAAGTTCCTTATCATAATAGTTATATTTACGCTTGTTGTCTTTATTCTCACCTTCAAACTTTATGACATGATCCCATACAATCGATCTTGATTAATTAGTTTGCTCTTCGTTTTTGTGCCATCTTGGATGTTACTTGAAATTACACTTGATTGTGGGTTGCTTTGAACCCATATTTTCAACATTAATCTCTTTGGATTGCCCCATTTACATAAAAAATTATGGAATTAAAAAATTAAGTTAGCAATTATTCAAACAATTATAAATGAATTCAAATTTAGGTATAATGATACACTAATCTAAACACAATTTAGGGTTTTAACTCGTTTTCTTTTTCCATACACATACTGCTTTGGTACTCCCACTTCTCAAGTCATTAGTAAAAGCAAACATTGACAAGAAACAAGAAATTCTAGCATTGCAAGGATTATAACTAGACACCGACAATTATTCCGAGAGGATGTCCATAATCGGGGAACTATGACAATTCAAATCCAAAAGTAGATTAATGACCATCTAGCAATGGAAAAAAGCCTATGAATCATAGGTAGTGGGATCCTTCATCCTTTTTTTCTTTTTCTTTTTTAACTATAATTGGTCATCTAGATCTAATTAATGACTTATTCACATACTAATTTCCCAAATTCGATCTCAAAATTTTGCCCGGGATTAAGTCACTTTGTTATTATGTAATAATTTATTTCTAGAAACCTTAAGGACATGTGAATATGTGAGCAACCAACAGGCTACATAAGAATTTGGATTGATCAAAATGAAACGTACTAATAGTGGAAACTTTACGCGATTAAATCGTACTCGAAATGTATTTGCTCTTAAATCACAAGTAGTCTATAGATATAAGCATATAATGATGATTGATTTGTATTTTCATTCCCTATTTTAGTCTGTATTCTACACTAAAGTCTCAAGTTTTCTAAATACTATGATACTATTTAATGTGAGATTGAATCCATCTACTAAACATATGACAAATGACATAGATCATTATTCTTCAAGAACAAATCTGGACCAAGAAAAATTATTGTACGTAAAACAAAAATGTGTTTCTCTTATCTTGAATGGAGATGAAAAAAGTGGGTTATGGTTGGTAGTTAGTGTTGGTAGTTGGCGGAACTTGCACGATTTCTAGCCACTTTTGATAGAGAGAGTACGTGAGAAAGCCAAAAAAGAAGTGAATGAAAGAGGAAGATACTATGAGAGAAGAAAAGAGGGTCGAGGGTCGTGTGTGGTCGTTGTGGAGTGTGGAATGGTGAGTGACAAGGTGGCTGGTGGTCGATCGGCCATGTGGGAGAAGAGATTCAATTCAATGGAGAAGAAGAGAGAAATGACGGTGGCTATGTGCTTCTACAGTTCTCTATTTGGCTTTGTTAGTTTGTTTAGGCCAATTTTTTTTTTTTTGTGCTTTTTTTAGTGTCTTTTATATTTGTAGATAAAAATAATAATAATATCGGTTTTTGGTTAAAATCGATTGGATTTTTTTACGACCGAACCGAAAGCTAAAATTATTTCGATTTTTTTTTTAATTTTGCTTTTAAAAATCGAACTAAAATTGATACTTCGGTTCGATTTGGTTTGATTTTTCGATTAACATTGAAGTTTGCTCACCTTTGCTATTGGTAGGCTTAAAGGGTTCGTCCATTATAATTGATCACAAACTAAAAATAATTTGATGCTGATTTATTTCGGAAAGTTATAAATTTAATATAAGTTGATGTGAAAACTAAAATAAAAATACCATGTAAAACAAAACTTAAAAATAACCTAAACAAAGAAAAAAAAAGAAAAAAAAGAAAGAAAGTGGCGTAGGTTACGAGTCATGACTATGACTACTTTTTCTACACCCTCTGATTGTATGATTTGTAAAAAAGGAATATTGAATTTTCAAAGAAACAGCCTTCCAGAAGGAATGCATGCCCAAAATTTGAAATACAGATTGGGCTCAAAGCCTCAAGTCAGCCTACTACAGTACTTGGAGCTTTGATGTTTTGGATCGGGTTATAAGTTTGTTCGTCAGAAGAGAGATTCTTATGACTGCAATTGTCCGAATGTAAATGTCATGTTTAACATACATGAAGAATAACACTCAATACAAATACATGTAAAACTGGTTCAAAAATATTACTTCATCCGTTACAAAAAGATTGTTCTTTTTATTTTTTACACAAACTATGAAGATTATTAATCATTATGTTGTATTATTATTTTCGTTTTATACTTTATCAAAATACTTTTTTTAACAATCTTTTATTTGTATAATTTTTTACTAAATGAACTTTAATTAAGGATAATTTAGAAAAGTACACTACTAAAATTTTTTACAAAATAAGTATTTTGAAATAAATATAAATAGAAATACAGATAATTTTTTTAGGACGTCGAGAATATAAAGTTAAAATCTAAAAATCGTAATAAGATTTGACGGATTATTTTGGTACCTCCTCTACAAATTTCTTCTGCTCATTACCCTTATGTCAATGTAAGGTTTTAGACAGAGTATTTCATTCTTTTAGTGAAAAAACCGGCAACTTAAATGCTTAACTTGAAATCAAAGTCTATTAATTATCTTTTGTAAATTCATAATTTCTAGACCGTGAAAGAGTAGTTTGCTTGCAATTAGAAAATGTTGATTCAACAGTTTGATAGTGTTTACTCTTTACTATTCTTAGGTATTTCAATATTTCATTTCTTTTTACGAGGAAGCAAGATTTTATCTCGTGCCCAAGTAAAACTTCAGATGCCATTCGACAAACATCAAATTAATCTCCCCAACTACAAGGTAAATTTTGATTAAATTTCTAAATAAAAATACTTTTTAACTGGATCCTTGAAGTATGAAACATTCTCAATTGCACCCTTTGTGTCCGAAGTCCATCTCTTATCATTTATGTGAAAAGGTCGATTTCAAGGAATTTGCCATTTTTTGTGTTAAGTATTGGTGATGACAGTTTTACATAATGGCATGACTGAGAATATTCAAACCTTTGGAGGCCCAGCTGAAAAAAATTATTTTTTAGAGACTCGATTGAAATTCATTATATAAACAAGATATAAATTGAGATTTGCCTTAAAAATAATCTGTTATGCAATTCCAAAAATAAAAAATATTTTATCGTGTATTTAGAATTTATAATATACTCAATAATCAATAAATCGTCAAATATTCATAAATGTAATATTTTAGTTGCTCAAGTAAAAATATAAAATTAGTGTATTTTGAGTTTTGAGGTGATTTATATGCTCAAATAAATTACTTTTTTTTAAAATGTTACCACGTCGTTCCTCTTATCCCTCCCACACTAACGTCAAAAGCCGACCATCACGCAAACACCGTCCAAGATTCTTTGGTCCGAACGAGATAGGGTCCCAATCAAGCACCAAAATCAACGATATAAGAAGCGCCACGTCAGAGACAGACCTCACTTTAACTACAATCAACAACACTGTAAAAACTAACTTCATCCTTGTCCTTCCTTCGACCTGTTATACTGCTGTTTTTAAGTTATCAGTAATCACACCCACTTCCCTTCCCTCAAAGCCAAAACCAGCTTTCTTCATCTTCCAAAAAATGGCTTCCGTACTTAACTCTGCTTTGTCCTTGAATTTATCGAATTTTAAAAGTAAACGAGTTCGAAATCACTCATTCGTCTCTCCTGTTTCTCTTTCTCTCACAAGTGAGTCCACTTAACTCGTTGGTCTCTTGGCAATTTTTTTTTTTAAAAAAAACGAACGACTATTGAGCTTCCGCGTTGCCTTTTCTTTTTTTGATTCAGAACTATGTTTTGGTGTTTTTCAGGGAGGAGAGTTACAGTTAGAGCAGCAGAGACGGATGCAAATGAAGGTTTTTATTTATTTTCAGCTTCTTAGTTAAGTGAGGGAATTGCATTTATTTTCATAAGAGGAAATTTGTTTGCCTGTAAATTGCAGTGAAACCTCAGCCACCAGATAAGGCGCCGGCTAGTGGTGGTGCTGGTGGTTCCAGCTTTAACCAGCTTCTTGGCATCAAAGGAGCTGCTCAAGAAACTGTCAGTACTGAGTGCTCTTTTTAATTTGTTATCTATTTACCAAGCTTCAAATTAACTTCTGATATTCATCTTTTTTATAAATAAAATATTGGTGCTTAATTTGCTACTGTAATCTCATGTATAATCTGATTCGATATGCAAGCAGATTATGTAATATATCATCAGATGCTAATAAAAGGATAAGTTTGGTTGACTGATATTTCGAATATTAATATTTCTGCTAATTTTAGTTACCATCTCCTGAATATGGATCTGAAAGAATCAAAATTGAGCCTTGGCATGTACAGGAGGTGTATAAGTTCGAATAAATTTACCCCTGGAGAATTCATAGCTGATAAACAGACATCCAACTATTTAGCTGTTGAAATAAGGACGATTGTAATTTAAGTTCTGCATGGAAGATTTTGTGGTCTAGGCCTAGCTTTTGAGATTTCTTGCTGCCTTCCAATGCTTAATTGTGTATGTAATTTTGAATGCTGTTGTGTGAGAGAAGAGTGAAGAGAAGGGTTATAAGGCTGTCAGGCTGTGCACATGGATGGAATGAGTTGATTGTGTAATTTTTTGTCCTGCAGAATAAATGGAAGATACGTCTTCAACTTACAAAACCTGTTACTTGGCCTCCGTTGGTTTGGGGAGTAGTTTGTGGAGCTGCTGCTTCAGGTACTCTCTTTCAATGGGGCACCGCATTCTAGTTTTATGGGTATCTCTAAAATTAAGTGCTAAGGATCTCACCGTTGCATCATGCCTCCATGGGGTATGTGGATGGCCAGCTGGAGATGATAAATGTTTAATGCTTATTTAAAGCTTTCATTTTATATATGAGGCAATGCCAAATTATGCATCCACTCGCGTCTGATATAATTTGCTTACTTGACAGGAAACTTTAATTGGACTTTGGAGGATGTTGCTAAATCAATTGTTTGCATGCTTATGTCTGGCCCATTTCTTACTGGCTACACACAGGTACCCTTTCATGCATTTGGAGTAGGTCTTCTTGTGCTTCTCTAAATTTAAATATCTGAACTCAAATTTGCTAGGTTTTCTCACGTTTCACTTTCACAGACGCTTAATGATTACTATGACCGAGAGATTGATGCAATTAATGAACCTTATCGTCCAATTCCATCAGGGGCTATTTCTGAGAATGAGGTCTGTAATGTAAAAACTATTCTTACTTTTCCTGAAAAAAAAAAAAAAGCAATGGACAATCACTCCTGGATTCTTGTCTTGCAACTTTTGTAGGTTATTACTCAAATCTGGGTGCTGCTACTGGGAGGCCTTGGCTTGGCTGGTTTATTGGATGTGTGGGTATGCGATATAAATGCCTGATACCTGCTTTTCTGTGCCTAGCATTATACTGGTTTTTGAATCCTTATTATTTAATAGGCAGGACATGACTTTCCAATAGTTTTTTACCTTGCTTTGGGTGGATCCTTACTGTCATACATATACTCCGCTCCTCCTTTAAAGGTAGAGTTTTATTTTGTTCTGTCATCAACTCAAAACATCAAAATTTATATTATGCAAGAGGATGTGTTCAAACACTGACTTGGTTCCAAATATCATTGTAGCTAAAACAAAATGGATGGCTTGGAAATTTCGCCCTTGGAGCAAGTTATATCAGTTTGCCATGGTGTGTAATCTTCCTTATATTGTTCCTCATAAAATTGAGTCAGGCAAATTTATATATTATCTAGTGATAGTTGAAAATCACCTTTTCAATTAGCTCATTAATTCGGTTTACGTCTGAAATCCAAGAAGAAAGAAGTGTAAAGTATTCTGTGGTTGCCCAAATTGTCCACATGATGCACATGAAGGCCAGGAAAAATTTGGGGGGCATATGAGTTATGACTTGAAGATTCTTTTTTACTAACACAAACTGAAACGATAGAAAAGATTTAGAACCAATACTTTACTCTTGAGATTGTGATTTTATTTATCATAAAGCACCTGTGAAGAGTGATGAATTGCATGTTATCATATTGCTTGTTAATGTGTTGAAGAGAACATGTGTGCTTGTGGTTTTGTTGCTTTCTATCTATCTCACCAATCTGCAGTTGAAAGTGAATGACACCCACGAACAATCTTGACTTCATTTTTCCTATGTTATTGAAACAAAAAGGCTGGTTTATGAACTACACAGTAAGAAAGCTTTGACTTTAATCTTTTGTTGATAGGTGGGCTGGTCAAGCTTTGTTTGGGACCCTTACACCTGACATCATTGTCCTAACACTCTTGTACAGCATAGCTGGGGTACAGTTGACTGAAATGCCTTGACATGTGAGCAATATTTCTTATCTAACTATTGCTAATTCACAGTTCTTGTTCAATATCTTCAGCTAGGTATTGCTATTGTAAATGACTTTAAAAGTATCGAAGGAGATCGGGCACTTGGACTTCAGGTTAATACAGCTTCTCACACATGCTTGTAATGTTAAGCTCTTGCTTTCATGAAATGAATCATCACTTATCATTGTCTGTCTATTTTGCAACCTTTTATGTGGTAATGCAATTTGAGCAGTCACTACCAGTAGCTTTTGGTGCTGAAACTGCTAAATGGATTTGTGTTGGTGCTATTGATGTTACTCAGTTGTCTGTAGCTGGTATGTCGTTTCTTACACTTTCAGATACCATGTTGTGCGTATGATGGTGATTTTTGTAAATTAAATTTGTTGATAATTAATGGAACTGTTTTTTCTGCAAACTTGAGAGATTGACCACCATTGATTAAACATGATAAAGGCTATAAAGTTTCCACTGGACTGCGTTTCTTTTTTCTACATGAAGTGAAAAATGATTAGTGAATAGTTGTTTTTGTTCTAAGAACAGAATCACGAATCTTAAAAACTGTTGGAATCTCTGTATTCTGACGTCATTGAGGGAATGGGATTTTGGTGAATTAAAAATTGATGATTTTTTACGGAATTTAACTTTATATGTTCAACAGATGTTGATGTGCTGTCTGGTTTTGATGGAAACAGAGTTGCTTTTTATGGGTTTTAAATTTATCTCTGTGAAGGTTTATCTGATTTCAGTCTTCATTGATAAATGCAGGTTATTTGCTAGGAGCTGGTAAACCTTTTTATGCTTTAGCCCTAGTCGGCTTGATAATTCCACAAGTTGTTTTCCAGGTGAAGATTGCTTCATTAAAATATAATGAGTTTATAGTTTACGGAAACAGTTTCGGGTGTTACACATCTCTTTCTAGTGGTTAGATTAAGGTGCGTTTTTTATGTCACTACAAATGGCATCTATTTGTCATACATTTAGTTTTATTCCTTCTGGTTGAATCCCTTGCTCCCTTAAGCTGCTGGTTACTTTATTAATAAATAATTTTTGCTATATCCATCTGATTTTTCTAAGTAGTCAATACTTTTCTATACCGCTTTTGAATAGCCACATTAGCCTTTAATTTGACGAGGGCTGTTATCTGCTCATGCCCACTCACCGCCCTAGCCTGTTTCTGAAGCAGCTGATTTAGTTCCGGGTATATTCTCCTCCTGATCCTTCAACCTTAGCTTTCTTCAGGGACTGGGGGGCACAGTTAAACCTTCAACAGAGGTTGTGAAACCCATAAGGAGCACCAAAGCTTGAAAAGTTTGTTTGTTTTGTTTTTTTTTTTTTTAATAGCATTTCTTTTAGGTGACAATATTTGATATATATATCTTCCTAAACATGTTCAACTTTATGTTTCAGTGATTCATAGTTTCTTTCCCTTCTCTAAATGATATTTGGTATTTCTCAAAAGAAATAACAAATGATAGTTTGTACTTCGTACCGAGAATGAACATTTGTTAATCCTTTGCAAAAAATTTATGCTCTGCAGTTTCAGTATTTCCTGAAGGACCCCGTGAAGTATGATGTTAAATATCAGGTATCATATATTTATCTTCCTTAAAGCTCTTGTTCTTTGAGATTTTCCTCTGGTGTGAAGTGAAAATTAACTCTAGAACCGCTTAGTGTAAATTTTATCGCCCAACATAACTAGGACAAGATGGACTTGTGTTATAACTTGCAAGTTGCAACTTGCTTACAATTGATCTCCGGCCTTAAATGTTATAGTGGTCGCATTAAATCACATTTTACAGGAAAACCTATATCTAACAAGAGTAGTACGCGTTGTCTTCTTCATCAAGTAGAAAACTAGAACATCACAGGCAATGTCTTTCTAAACAAATGTTGAGTACTTATGGCATCAAACAGATCCGTGAGTAGTCTAGCTTTTGTTGCTGGGGGACCATACGATTGGACACTCCATAGCATAGTAAATTTTCGCAATTATCATACTTCTGAGTTCTCACGCATTGGCATTTGTATCTCAGGCTAGCGCGCAACCTTTTCTCGTGCTTGGTTTGTTGGTGACTGCTCTGGCAACTAGCCACTAATTCTCTTCACGAGACAATCGCCGCGGTGAGACTGGTTGAAGATAAAGCTACAATGTGAACTAGCAAATAGGCTGATCACTTGCTCCAAAATGATCCCAAACCAGCATGTGAGAGATTTCCTTGTGATCCGGCAGTATGTAAAAATAATTGATGGCTTTTTCCTAGCCTTGTAAAATGTGTCTTTTGCGGAGGCGTGGCTCCTTTGCATCAAGAACAGGACCGTTCAGCATTGTTTTTCCATCCTTTTCACAATCTTTTCTAAACTTGGTTTCTTTTGAGATTAGAATTAGAACAGAAAGTTCTGTAAATTTTGATATTTGATTTTTGAGGTCGTGGATCCATTATGCAAAATTTTGGAATTTCTCTCTTCACTCCGAACATCCAGGAAATTTCATCATAGCTCTCGTGAACGCCTTTAATTAGTTAAATGGACTCTGGATCGATGTAACTTCTCAATTCCGTCAGGTAACCTTCAGCCACTTTCTGTTAACTTCTCATATTTGATAGCTGAGACTGAGAGAACCCTTTTGACATATCAAGGACTCAATCTCCATAATATCAGGGGAAACACGAAGATGTCCGACCTGTTATATACTTTCAGGTCAAGTGCTTCAAAATTTTGAATTAGATCGATCTAATTAAACTTGCATTCTATAAGATCCTAGGCTACGAGGAGTCTAAATGCTGGATAAAGTAATGCAAGTATTATGGGAAGGTGGATAGCAATTAGCAATAGTAAGGACGCCCATGCATAAGAACACAACTATATATAACAAGTTCAGAAGGAAAACAGCATTGTTACATTTAAGAACTTCTAGACCAACAAAAGCTAGTTCATACTGGAGACACAAACAACGGCAACTCTCCATCTCCAAGGCCCAACAAAAAATCTTGTCGGTACAACAGTAGTTTGGAAAACACTGTCATAACACAAGGCATATTGAACCATCAGACAGAGACATGCTACTCCTAGTACAAAACAACGTAGATAGAACCTAACAGCTACTATTGAACACGAAGTACTACTGCGCAAACTCTACTGAATCTAGTTATGCGTTTTGAACTTAGACTCGTCAATTTCAATCCCTTCTTCAGCAGCACGCTCTCCACCAGACTTTTCCATAGTTCTCAGGCCTCCTTTGCGGCCCATCTCCTGGTACCCTTCATGTCCCATTTGCTCCCTCCTAGTTTCACCTCCTTTGTGGCCCAGCTCTTTGTATCCTTCTGTCCTTAGCTGCTCCCTCCTAGTCTCCCCTCCGCGGTGACGCCCTGATTAATCACCATCACCCCACCAAGAACAAGAAACGATGTCAAAAAATGTACAGAAAACCAACGGAGATATTGTTGGAAATGAATTTATATATAGATATTATTTTACCTTCAGCGAGGTGTTCCTGAGCTTCAAGGCTCATGCCACCAGTTCCACCGGGAACAACAGTCTCTCCTTGCCTTGCCTTGGCATCGAATTCTTCTCTTTCTTGTCCAGAAGCCATTCTCCTCTCTTGATACTACTGCTTGTGTTATTACGACTCAGAGTAGCAAGTGAAAATAAGCAAAATTATACCTAGTAACTGAAAATATGTTGCAATGATGAGAGACAGAAGCTTTGATGTGCCTTTTCTTATATATAGTAGAATCTTGGTGGCAAGGGAGGAAGCAAAGAGACACGTCAAGGTATAGACGCGGCAAAACAAGAGCAAAGAAGCCATGGTGTGAAGACACGCAGGTGCTATGGTGAGCAAGGAGAATGACACGAGTCCTGGTTTGGAAGGTACGAGCAGTACTAATTTACTTGGCATGTTGGTAAATCACAAAGCTCGGTGCTAGTCATGACCTATCCTCTTGATTCTTTCAACACTTCTTATCTTCATGAAAAGCAAGCTAGCTGGTAGACCACATTAATGCATTAACTTTAAACCATTTAAATCTTGATATCTGTTTGATCAGGAGCTTGGATGATGCATTTGATGATTAGTTTTAAGGAGCAATTCTTAAAATTGTATATTAAAATATATTAGCTAAGAATTATTTGTTCATATTTTCTGATGAAATAAATCATTAGCTTCCGTGCCCTTAAGATGGGAATGCTGCTTTCAAAACATTGCCATTGCCATAACAATATGAATTTCAATTGCAAGGAAATAATAATCATCTCGAGGGCTATACACTTGGGCCTAACCATTTGATAGATTGAAATAAAAATGTTTTTTCTTGAATTATGAACATTAGACTGATATTTTATGAATTAAATTATCATTATTATTATTATAAGAAGTTTTTTCTCTCTTATAAAATGGTATTTAAGTGTTTTGAAATTTAATTTTATTTAATATGAATCTAATAATAATAATAAAAAAAGAGTTGTAGTAGAATTCTAAAGTTTTGTCATCGTTATTATCGTTAAGAAGCTTTTTTCTCTCATAAAATGGTATTTAAATGTTCTGAAATTTAATTTTATTCAATTCTATTCTAATAAAAAAACAAAAAAAGAATTTTACTAGAATTTCAAAGTTTAATACTAGAGATTTCAATAAAATTTAACATATATTTAAGAAAATCAACCATTTAAAATGCCTCTTAAATAATTTTATATAAGTCTGCACCGGTAGAGAAAAAGCAGAATTAATCATAAAAAAATATTTTATAGAAAAATAAATAAATAAATAAATAAAACAACACAATAAAAAAATAAAATAGATAATGGGCCAAGAGCATCTGCCAGGGCGCTTGGGCAGGCATGGGCCCGGCTTGCAAGGCCGTGTTAATACTTTAAGGATCTTCCTACTGTTGAGTTAGTTTTTACTAGATGGGTGCCTGAACTCCGCTCTGGAAAATTTTCATGTCTGTGTTTTGTTGTTGTAATTTTAATTATTGACTAAGAAGTATATATAGGTTGAACTTTAAAATAATTGAAAAGTTTTAATTGTATACTAAAAAAATAAATAGACTAATTCGTAATTACAAAAATTTTAATTATTAACTAAAATAGATAGACATATTTGTTTTTAGTATAAAAGCATATAAACAAGTGGCACTTTTTAGCTCAATTTCTTTTCTTACTTTTTTTTCTTCTTCCTTTTATTTCAAACCGGGCTAGCCCAGTCTAGCCACACATGGGTTGGGCACTGGATTGAGCTTAGCCCAAGCCATTTCAATTTTAACTAGACCCAAGCCTACAAACACCAATTAAACCTCCCTTTTCTTTTCTTTTTTTGGATCAAACCGTCTTTCTTTCTTTCTTTTTTGCTTCTTCCTTTCGCCCGATATCTCTCTCTCTCTCTCTCTCTCTCTCTCCTCTCCTTCTCTCTTCTTCTTCTTCCTCTCTCTGTCTAGTTCCTCAAAAGAAACGAACCCGATCTCTATTTCTCTTCTTCCTTCCCTCACTTTCTCGCTATCTTCCTCTCCTCTTCTCCTCTTTCCTTCGTCTCATCTCATCTTCTCCTTTCCTCTCTTTGCTCGATCTCCATAAAAGAACGAACCGAGTTCATCTCGGTTCAATCTCTCTCCTCTAATACTCCTTCAATTTTTTCTCCTTTTATTGATCATCCATCGGAATCAAAAACCTCTCATTCAATCATTTACCCAAAATTTCTCAAAATTGATCGAACCCTTGGTTTTAATTTTTTTTTCAATTAGCCTTAATTGCCTTGATTTCTCCTTAGATCAAGCCAATTCAAGCTTTTTAGAACCCAATTTGTAGAAAATCCCTAAATTTTATTACTATTTAAAAAAAAAAAAACCGAAACCTAGATTTCAATCTAGTTGAATTCGACTTAAATTTTAGGTTTAATTCCTAAATTGACAATCCAAATACCTTTAATTAACCTTTCTTTCAATCATTCAAACTTAATTTCAATCCAAATTCAAAAATCCTCAAATTTCGAAACCCAAAATTGTTTGAAACCCTAAATACAAAAAAAAAAATAATCACATTGAGTGATTGATATATCTAGAGGAATTCAAATTGAGTATGATGGTCGGAGGTATTGTTGCTCCAATTAAATACGTAAATTCTTTTCTTTCTTCTACGTTTTTTTCGGCTTTAGTTTCTTTTTTTCGATTGTTGTTTTATTTTTATTTTTTTCTTTAATTTTTTATAGGAAACGTCCTCCTCTTCCTTGTTTGTTGTTCTTTCTATATACTTGTCAAATTGTTGGTTCCCCACCGATGATGATGAGGGATTTTTTTACAAGTATGGTGTGGTGTGAATTAACGAGTAGAGTGGAAAGTTATAGAGTAAGGTGGAGGTCGATACTATGATGATTTGAACGAGTAAATTAACTTAGAGGGATTGTATACCGGAAGGAATACTAGCATATAAATAACAAAAATAGCAAACAAAGAAGGTAATGACAATTGAAGAAGAAAAGAAGATAGGAAAAGAGGGTTAAGAAGGCGAGAAGAGAGAGTAAAAGGTAAGGAGGCAATGTAATTAGAAAAGCAAAGGAGACCAACAAAGAAGAGAAAGGAAAAAAAATGGCTACAAATCAAAGCAACAAAAAAAGACTAAGAAGAATAGACGATCGAGAGAGAAGGAAGGTCACACACAATACATCCACGGTGCGAGTTGAGTCTAAATGAAAAGTAATAAACAATCAAAATCCTTATTCTTTTAGTTTTGTTTGTTAATAAGTTTTTTTTCCTTTAATCTCATTCATCAACATTTTATTATTATTGTTGTTGTTATTATGTTTTTTATTAATGTTTTAAACAAGAGTTCATCTCTCGGTTCACTCTTTCTCGTCTCATCCTCCTTCGATCTTTTACTCCTTCTATTCATTCTCCATCGGAATCGAAAACCCCCTATTCAATCATTTACCCAAAATTTCTCAAAATTGATCGAACCCTAGTTTTCTATTTTTTTTCAATTAGCCGTAATTGCCTTGATTTCTCCTAAGATCAAGCCAATTCAAGCTTTTTAGAACCTAATTTCTTGAAAATCCCTAAATTTTATTATTGTTAAAAAAAAAAACACAAGAAACCTAGATTTCAATCTAGTTCAATTCAACCTAAATTTTAGGTTTAGTTCCTAAATTGACAAACCAAATACTTTTAATTAACCTTTCTTTCAATTATTCAAACTTAATTTCAATCCAAATTCAAAAATTCTCAAATTTCGAAACCCAAAACTGCTCGAAACCCTAAATACAAAAAAAAAAAAAAAAAATTACATTGAGTGATTGTTTTATCTAGAGGAATTTGAATCGAGTATGATGGTGAGAGGTGCTTCATTGTTCCAAGTAAATAGGTAAATTCTTTTCTTCCCTATGTTTTTTTTCTAGTTTTAGTTTTTTTTTTTTCGATTGCTATTTTTTTTTTAAGAAACGACCTCTTCTTCCTTGTTTGTTGTTATTTCTATATACTTGTCAAATTGTTAGTTCTCCATCGATGATGGTGAGGGATTTTTTACAAGTATGGTGTGGGGTGAATTAATAACGAGTGGAAAGGTATATAGTAGGATGGAGGTCGACGAGTATGATGATTTGAACGGGTAGATTAACTTGAGGAGATTGCAAACCTGGAAGGAATACTAACACATGAATAACAAAAAACAGCAAACAAAGTAGGCAATGACGACTGGAGAAGAAGAAAAGATAGGAAGAGAGGGTTAAGGAGGCAAAAAGAGAGAGTAAAAGGTAAGGAGGCAATGCAATCGGAAAATCAAAGGAGAGCAACAAAAAAGAGAAAGAAAAAAAGAGTGGTTGCAAATCAAAGCAACAAAAAAAGACCAAGAAGAATAGACGATCGAGAGAGAAGAAAGGCCACACACGAGTACATCGACATTGCGAGTTGAGTTTAAATAAAAAGTAATGAACAATCAAAATCCTTATTCTTTTAGTTTTGTTTGTTAATAAGTTTTTTTTTCCTTAATCTCATTCATCAACATTTTATTATTATTATTATTATGATTTTTTTATTAATGTTTTAAACTAATGGTGTTAAATCTCACTATTAGATTTACAAGATCGTAACAAATGTTAATATTTTTCTTTTTACCAAAATAAAAATTAAGTAAATATAAATTTGAAAAAAAAACACTACTAAAAAAGCTATATAACTAATCAAAACCTATAGCTCTCTCTTTAAAAGGTAGCTCTAATCCTACTTACCTTACTATCAAATGAAAAAAAAAAAAATTACTAAATTTTCTTTATTTAAAGTATAGAACTCTAGAATTCATGGATATGCAAACAAATACAAAATATTAACAAATCTCAATGTAAAACAATAAAATTCAAAACACAACCCACCTAATCTCCATAATTACTTAAAATCCAAAATGAAAAAAAATGTAGAAACATACAACAATTAAATTTCAATTTTTCTATTGTTATTTCAAGAATTTAATGTTATTTAAAATACTCAATATTAGGTTAAAAAATATGAAAAAAATTTAAATACTTAAAGAGTAATTTACAATAATTACTCTATAATTTTTTTAATAAAAAAATGATATATAAAAAAAAAAGAAAAAAACATCACATTAGAATCCACAACAAGTAATTTGAATATTTCTACCCAAACTCAATTTTTTTTTCAATTATTTCGCTTGTCTTTATATCTATTTCTTTCTATGAATTAATTATTAATTGTTGCTATTAGAATAAAATAAAATTTAATAGAAGAATACAATTAAAATAAGGCTAACTGGATTGATAGTATTTTGTATTATGCATTGACCGTATACTGATATTCCAAACTAATTTTTTTTTAATTCGAATGCTACAATTATATTTTAGTTTGTAATCGAATCTGTCGATCTTGTTAAAGAAATTCGGAGCACACATGACAGTGAAATGACCAAAAAATTCATACCTAAATTAAATTATCAAATTTATTTATTTTTCCATCCCCAATTCTCTCATCTCTTCAATCATCAAAATGCTTCTTTACGCATTGAATCCTCGTCAATCAATTTTTTCTGATTAACAAAAGCCTTGCATTTTTGCAGATCATATCTAATTTTGGAGTTCTTTGATTTGTGGTTACACGAAGAATGGGTTGCGTGAGGAAGCTTTGGATGCGTTTGGGAAGATGCAAAACGCAGGTGATGAGCGTGATGAAGTTGCAGTTGTTGGTATTTTGTTATAAATGCATTAGTGGATATTCATGCAAAATGTGGAAATTTAACCGATGGACGATTGATTTTTGAACGGATGACCAATTAAAAATAATGCCTGCTGGAATTCTATGATATCAGGTTTTGCCATTAATGGGCAAAGCAAAAAGGCTCTAGAGTTCTTCAGGGGAATGGAAGAGTCAAATGAGAAGCTTGATGAGATAACATTTCTGCATGTTCTCTCTATCGGCCTGTGTGTATGGGGATTTGTAGACGATGCTTTGGAGATTTTTTCTAAGATGGAGAAATATGGGTTTTCAGCAAGTATAAGCACCATGGGTGTCTGGTTGACCTTTTGGGGAGAGGAAGAAGGGAAGGAACTTGGTTTGATTTAGGAATTTTTCAAAATTCTAGTTTTTTATTTTGATCTGGTGGTGGAGTATTTTGTAATTTTACAGAATCATATTAGTCGAAAACAAAGACAACACTGATCAAAGATTATGTGTTTTTATTTATTTATTTATTTAACTACAAAAGTATCATGCGTGAAAAAATTGTCAAGAATTTAGTTAACGAGATCGATAAATTTGATTAAAAAAAATTATAGCAATCAACTTGAAATAATTTTAGTTCAAAGTAGATCAATACATAATACAGGGTTTGTCGAACCAAGTAGTCTTAAAATAAATAAACCAAACCCTTTGATGAATTTAATTGACCAAAAACAGTTCTTAGTAATCGTCAGCATTCTTCAGTTAAAAGCGACGACAAAAACCCTCTTGTCAGCCTCTTTCGTACACCAAATTTGAATCTCCACTCCTTACTCACGCATGTGCTGCTGCAAGCCCAAGAATCCCGAAACCCCACGAAACAGGAAGAAGTAAGCGAAGAAGCACACAGTACGCCCCTTTTCCTCTTCTTCTTCTTTTTTCTTCGAAGTCATGAACCAAGAATCATCAAATGACAAAAACCTCATCAATAAACCTACAATACCCCCATACATGAAAGCTATATCCGGCTCTTTGGGAGGGATTGTGGAGGCGAGTTGTTTGCAACCAATTGATGTTATCAAGACAAGATTACAGCTCGATAGAAGTGGGAATTACAAGGGGATAATCAATTGTGGATCCACGATTGTGAGAACGGAAGGGGTACGGGCTTTATGGAAAGGATTGACTCCGTTTGCTACTCATTTGACCTTGAAATATACGCTTCGTATGGGTTCTAATGCGGTATTGCAGTCTGCGTTTAAGGATTCAGAGACTGGGAAGTTGAGTAATCGTGGGAGGTTGATGTCTGGGTTTGGTGCTGGAGTTCTCGAGGCTCTTGTTATTGTTACTCCTTTTGAGGTTAGTGAATGTCTCTTTGCCGTTTGTTTTTTTTGAGAAATGTGAATGGAGTGTTTCTAGTATTTGAATGTGAATGTCATTGCTGTAGTTTTTATTCTTAGATTAGATTCTTCTTCTTGTTAGTTTTTCAGGAAATGGGGCATGATTGTGAAATGAGGGATTATTAATAATCAAGTATTTGTTGAGTTATTAGTGGAATTAAGCCATGCTTAACTTTTCAATTTTTTCTTTTTGGAATTATTTATGTTACTGGGTGAATTCAAGGGGATTTTGAGTCCGTATGTTCGAGTGGGCAACACCCCGGAAGTGTTCTAGCTTTTTCCATTCTTAAGTTCCGTAATTAGGAAATTTATGACAGTGGAAGTGTTAAGAGGAATCAGACTGGATATTTCATGATGTGGAGATAATAAGGAAGGAGAAAAAATTGAAAAAGCTTTTGCTTTTTAGTGGTTTAATTAAGTGGAGTTTTTGGCATGGGATGTTGCCTTAGTCTATGATGAAAGTGGATGAATCAAGATTCAGGATCATGATATTTCTTGGGGGATGCATCTTTTTTATTCCAAAAAAATGAATTGCAGGTCATATTTTCTTGATTGTAGCTGTCATAACTGCTGAGTTATGATGTCAAAGTTTTGGAAATCCATTTAGATGAGGCTCTATTGGGAAATCCGCCTATTTTCTAGCTCGTTTAACTGGTTCCTGAAGAGTTAAGACATCTTATATATGTGAAGTGAAGCAAACTATGATTCAAGTGTATTATTAAGAATCTACTCAGCTTCACTGGTACTTAGGTGCCCCATCTCACCTCCCCCAAGCCTCCTTTCTTTGTTCTTTATTAAAATTTTACTTCTATCAGTATCTATTTTTCTTGAGTTGGATAATAATGTTAAAATCTAAAATTGACTGAGCAGTGAGCAGTCCATTGCTCCATGAAATTATATTTGTCCTATATAATAAGGTCACTAAGCTTTTCCCTAAGTTAACTTTTCATCTGATCAACTTGGAACTTGCTAACCAGGAAGTTACAAATAATCTTACTGCCCCAGGTAACTGCTGTTCTTTGATACAAAAGAATTAGATAGCCTTTTCCTGAGTTAATTTCTTAGAACAGTACTAACAATTGCATGTCTCATCTGTGAAGCAACCCAACAGAGGAATGTTATATACTCAAACAGTGTGCTGAATAGAATAGGAAATTGGGATTAACAGGAAAGCAATATGATTTTCATGATTTAAGTGTATCTGTAGCAAGGTTGTCTGTTGTGTCACATTTGTATTTTAGCTAGAGTGATTAGATTTTGATTCATAAGGATTGCTATGGTGCAGCTACATCAGATGTATCAGCAAGCTATACAAACCGTCCAAAAGAAAAAGGTGAATACCTTGAATTTAATCTGATTTCTGATTGGTGCAGGTTGTAAAAATTAGACTGCAGCAGCAGAAAGGGTTAAGTCCTGAGCTTCTGAAGTACAAGGGTCCTGTACATTGTGCTCGTATGATCATCCGTGAAGAAGGACTGCTTGGGCTCTGGGCAGGGGCTGCTCCAACTGTTATGCGCAATGGGACAAACCAGGCGGCCATGTTTACAGCCAAAAATGGTTTTGACATACTCTTGTGGAAGAAACATGAAGGTGATGGGAAAGTCCTCCAACCATGGCAGTCTATGATATCTGGATTTCTTGCTGGAACTGTAGGTCCATTTTGCACTGGCCCATTTGATGTTGTCAAAACAAGGTTAATGGCTCAAAAACGAGAAGGGGGTGAATTGAAGTACAAAGGCATGGTCCATGCTATCAGAACAATATATGCTGAGGAAGGGCTTTTTGCCTTGTGGAAGGGACTGCTGCCTCGGCTGATGAGAATACCACCTGGTCAGGCCATTATGTGGGCTGTAGCTGACCAAATTACCGGCCTTTATGAGAAGCGATATCTACACACTGCAGTGTCGTAGGTACTGTTCACAATTTTTTTGCTTGTTCTGGTTTTGAAATGGATTACAAGCATAAAGTCACAAATTTCCGAACTTTTCCTCTTGAGTTGGTTTGGCTTTTCTGAATGAACATTGCTTAAAAGACGTTATCAATAATTTGAAGTGCTTGGGGATAATGAAGAGTTACTACAAGAACGCTTTAACAATTTCTGGCATGTTTAAACTTACAAGCTGGTGTTTTAGCCTGACCCTACTAGCATCTATTAATTTCCGGGGATCATCTGTCCTTCCAACTATAAGGGGAACTGGAAGTTCTCAGCTTTGGGGTTCTGTTAGTTGGTGGAGGCAAGAGCATTCTTTTCTTGAGCTGCATTAGAAGCCGGATCTTTTTGTATCCTTTTTACTTTGTCATGCAGGCAAAAACTTTTCTTTAATGTAGCCAAGATTGCGTTGTGAATTTGAGCTCGTCCATTATTTTAGCTCAAAAATGAGTTTGTTAACTTTCTATTTGATAAAAAAAGAAATTTTATAAAGCTGTTGGGCTAATATCACCATTCGCTTCAAAAGGTCAATTCCATGAGTCATCACCTCTTTGCAAAGGCTTTCTCCCCAGCTTGGAGTTGGAGTTGTGCTCTGTAATGTAAATGCGTGAGATGTGTTCCGCTCTAGATATAGATTGATCAGTTGTTTAGGCATTTGGCAAAAATAATTGTGGTAATTTCATGCAATCCGAACTGAAAGAGTGGTGAGTTGAATCCCACGTTTATCGGTTCATCAATTCGGCAGGGGTGTTCCCACTTGGGAAATGGAATTCGAGCACATTACAAGGAATCAAATTCTAGATCTATCCCAAGCAAGTTCATAAAAAAAAGGAAAAATCTATCATCACAAGGTACCGTATAATGTAATCAAGAGAAGTGTGGATGCAGCTCGGTTTCGTCATTGTTATCTTTTCATTAGAAGAGTTAGATGCAATTGTTATCTTTTCATTCTAAGGGTTGGATGCAATCTTTAGAACTTAATTTATAGAGGCAGTGACTACATTGCAATTAAACATATTATCAAATTAAAAATTGCATAAAAACAGATCGAATAAGATATTAGGTAATGAAAGAACTCAGTGAAAACAGAGAAATCAAGAAAATTGATTGAAGTTTTGAGATAGAATATATATAAACTCTTAGAACACTAAGATTTGCACTACGAAAAGCGGCAAAAAAAAATTGTAGAAAAAGTTGTAAATTTACAAAAGTAAATTGCTAGAAAGATAAAACATGCTATAAAGAATGATAAATTGCAAAGTGCAAAGGTAAATAATTAAAAAGATAAATTGCTGAAATTTAATTGCATTCGAACTAACTAAAAAATTACAAAGAGATTATTTATACTATTCTAAGACCCGAGACTCGTTTGCAATACAAGTAAGAATAAATAACAAAAAAGAAAAAAGAAAAAAGAAAAATATCATGTCCAAAAAGAGACAAGAAAACAAGTATGATAAATAGAAAAGTAGTTTGAATACCTTATTCTACTAAACACTAAAAGAAGTGAGGAGTTTATTGTTCATTTGAACAGTGAATGAACAGTGACTTCTCATTTCTTTTGGTGTGACCAGCTTTTTTTTTCTTCTCTATATACTAAATTCTACAAAACCACTAAACACTAAAAGAAGTGAGGAGTTTACTATTCATTTGAACAGGGAATGAACATTGAATTCTTACTTTTTTTGGTGTGACAAATTTTTTTTCTTCTCTCGTACATTGAAATTACTCGTTTATTTGAACAATATTTTTTTTCATTTTCAATTTATTTCACTACACGTCTTTTTTTTTCTTTGGTTTTTTCCTTTGCTTTTTTTCATCAATTTATGCTCTTTTTTATTTAATTGGGTATTAAAACTTTGAAAAATTATTTTTTTCTTTGCTTTTTTCCAATCAATTTATGTTTTTTTTTTATTTAATTAGGTGTTAAAATTTTAAAAAATCAATCGTAACTCTTTTCCACACAAACTCACGATTATATGATATATCTTTTTATATTTTAAAATTAACATATACTTCATCTTATAAAATTACTCTTATTATTTAAATTTGATTCTGAATTTATCATTTTTTTTTTATGAAATTTATTTGAAATAAAATAATTAAAGTAATTTTTTAAAGGAACCAACCAATTATTTAAATATCGTTTTTTATACTAGTTTTATTGATTATTTTGTAAATAAATATATATAGATCAAATGCATATAAATGAAGGAAAAAAATTTTCTCACCAACATTAAATAACAATAAATTTTTATTTTTTCATTGCTTAGTTTTTATGCAAGTCTATATATTAATTGTAACTTTATTTTTTGGATACATTCTTATAAAAAATATATATATAATTTTAAAGTATTTGGTTTTGAATTCTTAATTCATATTTCGGGTTTAAATTATTACAAGTTTTTATTTAAGAATCACTCGAATAAAGAAGAATAAATCATTTTTTTAAGTAGATATTTTATGAAAAACACACAAAAATAGTAATAATTAAATAAAAATTAATAAAAAAATTATAACATTTTGAAATGCTTTTGTTCGATTTACCCGTAGCATTGTGCGAATAATTTCAAAAATTAATCTTCTTATCGACATTAAATAAGAATTTTTTTTTCATTTGTTAATTTTTGTAAAAGTCCGTCGATTAATTATAACTTTATTTTTTAAAATGCAATAGTGTGAAAATTGTATTTTTAAAGTTTGTTTTTTCAATCCTCGAATAATATTTTAGTTAGAATTATTATAATTTTTAATTTTAAGATCAATCCATAAATAAGAATGATTTATTTTTTTAATCAAAAAATTTATAAAAAACATTAGAAAAAAATAATTAAATATAATATTATAATTTAAAAATTTTAAAATAATTTTATTCTACTAGGCCCGCTACATAGCACGGGCAATCGGCTAGTAAAGACTAGATAAGGTGTGTCTCTATTTATATTACTCTCGGACCTCGGACTCATTTGCAATACAAGTAAATAAAAAAAAAGGTAATAAAAAAATATTAATTAGGAAAAATATTTTGTCCAAAAAAGACAGGAAAACAAGTATGATTTAAAAAAAGGAGTCTCGAATCCCTTATAATGACAAGGCTATAAAATTTTTGAGCCGGAGAATTTGTAAAATCTCCTAAAAAGTTTCCATCAAGAGTGCAAATAATTGTGTCCTCTTGAATATCCGTTGAAAATTGAGCCTTGTCGTTGCAGAAATTCGAATATAAAAATAAGAGAATATAATACTTAATTGTGTATAGAAATTATCTCTACACTTTCATTAAGGTGATTATTGCTCTTACTATAATGTTGCAGGGATTTTGACACCTCTAGGATTCAACTTTGCACTCAAGGAATTGCAAACAACGCTCTTGAAATTTCTTCAACAAAATTTCTCTTGAGGTTGTAAAATTTTATGAAGAGAAGAGTTTTGAGAGGAGGTAGAGGATTGCGAAAGAAAGAATTAATTATCTTTTGAGTAGTCATCTAATTATAGATTATTAAAAGCCTTTCATAACCAATATGGTCGTTGTAAAACTAGTTTGATTCAATGATTAACTCGTTATTTTTTAACATTCTATTTGAAATTAATCAATTACCACAAAAAAACATAATTAATTATGAATTTAATTTAATCAAAAAAATTTAAAATTAATTAAATTAATTAATCACATGTCGCGTGCAAAGTGCTAAGTAATAGTCTTTTTATTATATATATATATGAAACCGGGTTCTTTTTTTCTATTCCTTGACTTCTCCTAGGTTCTCTAGGAACTTCTGTGAGTAACTATTTCCTGATTCACACTTCAAAATATGAATGTCTTGCTACTTAATGGTGCTCGTAATTTTGAAATTTCAGGTCTACTTTTGGAGTCTTCCTAGCTGTGCTGGAAATCAGGTGAAGTTTTTGATCTTTTACTTGTTGGACTGAATTTCACCAACTTGGCTCTATTATATTTCTTAACATGACAACATTTGTTTTTATAGCTGAGGAATGTGAACCGCATACTTGATTCTGATCTGCAAAGCAGTAAGAAGCGGTATGCTGAACTTGTTGATCCGTGTGATGCATTAAAGAAAGGACGTGAGGAATCTGTGAGTATTTTGAGTTACATTCCTTATTGTAATTTGACGATACTCCTCTTGGGCTGAATGATTTGAGTCTGTTATCTGACTCTCAACCTTTTAACAGGGTGAACGAGAGGAGGCTTTGGCCGACCTGAAAACCATTGAAATGAAGTATAACGAACTGAAGGTTTATTCTGACTCATTAACTCTACATTTAGTAATATGAACAGATCATCAACTCTCCAATGCTTCTAATTTATCAGGAGGAGAAGGGGAAGTACGCAGACAATGATCCTGCTGCCTTTGAAGCAATGAGTAAAGAACTCTCCATCTTTGTTTGATCTTCAAACTCTCCTATTCTGTCCCAAAACATCTTCTTATAACTCTGTAAAGGGGCATGATTACTTGGTCAGTTTAATCATCCTTTAGACATATTGATAGTTTTAATTCCAATATTGCAGAGAAAGCTACTGAAGTCGCTCATGTGGCAGCAAACAGATGGACAGGTTTTACTGTTTACACATTATTTTCTTTCTTTTTCTTATTATTTATCTTTGATCAGTTTCCATGAAATGTTTTACTCAATTGGAGTTTTAATAAACCTCATCTATTATTGTAAAAAAAAAAAGAAAAATTTACAGATAACATTTTCACATTGCAACAATGGTGTTCAAACAATTTCCCTCAGGCCAAACAGCAGCTCGAAAATATGTATCAGGAGGTATATCTTAATTTCTTACTGGTGTTCCAACAATTGTGCCCGTCATAAAATGTGAACCACGACCTGATACTGCCTCCAATACCACAAACAAGAAGAAACTGTACTTTTTTGCTCCTCCTTTATCTAGGTCCAATCAGTCCTTGGTGTAACACTATCATATGACCGTCATGCACTCATAGTTTCCAATGGAATTTGTTTGTCAAATTTTCTGGTCCCAGTTGTACATAAAGAGAGCTCTTTGATTGTGTCAATAGAGCCTGTTTATCAGGTTTGTGGACCTATTCGTAGCAATATGTCTAGATATCAAGGTGTTAATTTCCTGTAAAACGTGAACAATATATTTAGATTTGGTCATCCCCCTCCCTTATCAGTCTGGATATATTCGTTTTTAGTTGGTGGTTCTTTTAGTGGTAGCAAGCATGTGCCCACGGGCTCTACTTTTATAGGTTTTGTTGGTCACTGAGATCTTTCCTTACGAATCTATCTGCAGGCAGGAATAACAGATGATTTTGACTATTTGGATATTTTACCAGTTATTCCACTCGACTCTGTTACTGATCAGATGCCGGAAGGCAATCCTTGAGTTGAATTGTTTGGTATGCCTTCCTCTTAGGTTTTCAGTTGCAACTATTGTTTTGGGCAATGTGTATAGGCCATTTCGTTCTTTATTTACTGAAGGGTACGAAGGATAATGCTATTAGCTATTATATCATTGATTCTTATTCCTGGCGCTGAAATACAATTAAAAACTCTCAATGGCCTTGATTAAATTGATCAAGCTACATCAGTTGCCATCCCTCGTGTGGATAATCAGTGTCTGAGGTGGGCTTGCTCGTGCTCAAGCTACTTGTTATTTTCCTTGAAGTGGTTTGGTTTTCGTTATTTTCTTTTGTCAAAAACCTAAAAAAAATAATAATAAAAATAATAAACTTGCAGCATTGCCAGTTGCTTGATCTTGAGTTCAGAATTGGAAGATAATTTTATTTTTCTTCATTTCTTATAATTAGCCTTTTTCACCTCCGTTTATATTATAGAGATTTTACAAATAACGTTAATTTCCAGTCCCATTCCCTGGAAATTGTTGTTGCTGCTGCTGATGATGAAAGCTTCACTAAGTTGATTAAATTAATCGCATACTTTCTTAATAATGTATTCAAATCGATTTCAACCACCACGGCTCTTTTTGCTCTTGTCAAGCTTCGCTAAGTAGCTTTGTTGCTGCTGCTGATGATGAAAGCTTCACTAAGTTGCTGTTGGAGGCACATGATGTTGGATTGATATTCTAAATCTGCAGAAGTTCAAATAAACGAACAACAAACAAGCACCAAGGCTGAATATCTCAAGCATAATTTCAGTGACAAATAACCTCACAAACAATCAACAAACATATGATACGTTGACAAATCTTGATTTTCTAAAAAACTTTGAAATCCCGACCTTTTTTTTTAGATTTTTTTTCTTTTTTGAATTCTTTAATATGACATAATAAGGCCTAAGTGATATGAATAATAATTTCAACTAAGTCAAACAACCCTACCTATAGAAGCTAATGAGGCTGAAACTATCATGCCTTGTGTAATCTCAAATTTCAATCTTAACTAAACAAATAATTAAAATAAAATAATAAAAGTCTAATAATCTCTATGCCACTACCCTAATGAAAATTCACAGAATATACGAGATACGTCCATCAAGTAACCAATGGATATAGATAACTCCATCATAAAAAAGCTTGAATGCGAGGATCGAGAACATACTTTAGTTGATCTTTCTAAGAATATAATTGTCACATCCTAATCCAAGGAAACACAAAAATAGAGAAAAATCTTCTCAATTTTTATTCAATATATTCAGCAAAAACTTATAGAAATAATAGCAAAAATGTGTTTAAATACTAGCTCTTAAAAGTTCAAATTAGAAAAAAGACTCCAAATAAACTTTCTAAGCTAAATTGGATTTAATAACTTAAAAAGCCTCATCCAAACTTAATAAGGACTAATTAACTTAGTCCTAATTAAATATGAACTTTCTAAATAATTATAATTTTTTATTTAATTTATGAATCTACAATAAAGATGTACCCCTAATTAAATATGGGTCCAAACCACTTAAGAACTAAAATAAATCTAAATAAAAATATGAATTCTAATACAAGAATAAATTTAAACAACTTAAATAAGAATAAATAAACATAACTAAGCCTAAATATTTCGATCCCAATTGAATAGAAATATTTGACCCAATGCATGCTCGTCCAAACTTGAACCTTCGACCAAAGTGGAACATGGAATTTCGGCCTTTCCTTGACGACACTCATGTGTCATACTTCCTTGGTTGGAGAAAACTCATCCTCAAGTTTACATCACTCTTTCTTCGATTATATGGATATCCAATCAAAACTCTTGAAATTTGCTCACCGGTATCGACTTTTGCTACCTAAACTCCTACAACTCTTCCATTGCTACCGTGATACATTATGTTGTCCTATAACAAGCCTTACAGGTGCTAACCCAACGAAGGTGCCAAGTAGCCAACCATGGTGTAACATTTTTGTCCACCTCAACAGAATCTTTCTCTAACCACTAGTATTGACTTCCTCACTCGTTGCACTTAATGTAACCTCCAATAGCTTCGGAATCACCATCCATAAAACTCTAGGAGTCTAACGTGAGTTTAGGCATGATATTAGTGCTTACGAGTAACACCACCAAAAGCATTGATTGAAATAGAATTATTGCCAACGTTGGCACTATAAAAAAATTGCAATATAGTGATGGATTAAAATCGATAACTAAATAGCAACAGATTAGCGATTGATTGTTAAATGTGGTATTTAGTAACGAATACCGACCAATTTGCAATGGACGACCAATGACAAACATTGTTCGTTAATAAATATGGCGATAAAATATTTATAGTTGTTTCAACGATGGATTTATGAGGAAATTCAGCGATGGATACTCCAATCCATCCTTATTTTTTTTGTTATGGTTAGCGAGGGAAAATTCCCTTGCTAATTCTTAAAGTTGTTGATAATTAGCAATGGATATGGTCTTGGTTAGTCACTATTATGATAAAAAATAGTGACGGATTGGGTCGATCATTATTTTCAGTATAAAAAAAGGATGATTGTTTGAAATTCAAAATTATAGAGATAGGTTAGTGACTGAGTCTCCTCCATCACTAAAAATAAATCCCTAAATTGTAGAATCCCTTTTCTTCCCTTATTTTCTTTATCCTTCTCCCTCTCCTCTCACTCGTTGCCATTTCCCACCCTTGTCACTACCTATAATACCCCCCCAAAACACCTCATAAATACCACTCCTCCACTTCTCATCAATATCCAGCCGCTCCAACCATCTTTTTTCTCAAACATAGCCTCTCGTTTCTCCTCTTTCTTAGGTGTTCTCCACCTTGTGTCTCTATTTTTTTCTACTACAAGAAAAACCCGGTTAGGTATATTTCTTCATCCTAATTCATAATTTATATTTAATTTGTGTGGATTTTATGTATTACTCTTGATTTTACTATTTTTGAGGTGTTTGAAATTTTACTTATTTTTATGTGTAATTAATTATTAGTAAATATGTTTAAAAAATCAATTTATGTTATTTGAAATTTAATTGAGTATATTTTTAGTTTATTAGAATTTTTTTAAATTAATTAGGTTTGTGTGTTGATAAATTAGGATAAAATCTTGAGTATGTAATTTATTGTACAATGATTAAAAATATAGATAGAGTAATTTGATAATTAAGTTATTAGATTTGAAATAACACATTAAATTTAAAATTAAAGTGTTAATTTAAAATTAAAATGTCAATTTAAAATGTATATAATATCTTATTATTTGAACTTAAGATTTAAAAATTGATAGATTAATTTTTGGTCAAATTTGTTTGATATAGATAAAAATTATTTGTTGTATGAATTGTAATATTAATTATTTATATACAAAATTGTTGCAGTCTAGTCAATAGCATTACCGATAGTCACTTCAACCAATCCAATAATTTTTCAGCCACTTCGATAATTTTTTAGCCACTCTTACTTATAAGGTAAGTTATTGAAAGCTCAATTTATCATTTATGTTGTAGACTAATTTTTAGTTAGATATGACAATTGATATTGTAATTATTTATAATTTATTGCAATTGTTAAAGTGTTTCGATATACTTCGTAACGTATCGAACACAAGGGATTGGAGATCCTCGAGAATTAAGGACAAATAAGATTGGTTCAATGCTTTGAGATGAAGTTAGGAGAACGAGTTTGGGATTTAATTTAATTGATTATTCGAGACAAGTATTGGTCTCGGTGTGCACAAATTGATTTATTTGTTTACTTGAATGTGACTTTGGTTGATGTTTATATGCCGTTGATTAATTGAAAATGTTTACATTTATTGTATTTTTTATATGTAGTTTTTTTGTGTAGGTGGAGTTTCTTGGAATTGAAAAATATATACTTTATAGGGGCAAAATTTCGTTAGATTTTTAGCAAAATTAGTAATGAAGTAATTGTGTGTTGGTTCAAATATATAGAAGGAAAATATAAGATTCGATCATACATGGATGGACTTTAGGTTAACCAATAAGATTTTAAATGAGCGCTTTGTGAATGGGGTTGAGAAATTGTCTATATTTGTTGTTAGTCATCCTAGATGTATGGACGGAAGAAAGATAAAATATCTTTGTAATTGCCGTAAGTGTCAAGATCGTATATTTAAAGAGGTTCAAATGGTTAAATATCATTTAGTGAAAAATAATTTTGTATCCAACTATTATGATTGGATTCATCATGAAAAAATTGAGTCCAAGAGAAATTTAGTTTCGGATAATTAAGATGAAGGCAAACAGATTTTTTTTCAACCTCATAATCCATATCATCTAATGATGATGGATATAATAAGTCCATCACTTAGTCCGTCTAACACCAATAAGATGCCAAATTATGACGTACAAAATTTTTATGACATGTTGAATGCATCGAATAAAATTTTTTAGCCTCGGATATAAAAAAATCACTCACCGTTGTCTATTGTTGCTCGAATGTTAAATATTAAGGTAGAACACCGGCTTATCGAAAGGAGTTACAACGAGTAATGTTAGCTAATAAATGAGTTGCTGATTATTGACAACTCGTATGATAGAGGACTTCTACAAAACCTGAAATTTTGTAAATGGTATGAGTTTACTAGTTGAAAAGATCCATTGTTGTAACCATGGTTGTATGATTTTTTAGGATGAAGATAGTGAATTAACTCGCTTGAAAGTTTTATTCCCATCCTCGATATTGAAGTCTAAGATGAGGATTAGTGAGAATAAAATATATTTCACATAAAAAATATATATATTATTTCATGCTCACTCTATACTTGTAAAGACTACATGCATCGAACACCACAACCAATGACATGATGTGGCATGTCGAGCATGAGGTCGAGGATACAAACGTAATGCCACATTGCTCTAACTCTCTTGCATGATGGAATTTTGATCAAACACATCTTTTTTTTCATCTTAGAAGAAAGGAATGTTAGATTGAGAGTTTACACTAATGGATTCCAACCTTTCGATTAAT